ATTATCATTGAGATACAAGAGTAAAACGAATTTCGCAAAAGTTCCATTTGACAATTTTTGAAGATAGGCCTAAATCCAAAAGCGAAGAGGGATTTATAAACAAGTGAAGCCTTGGGAAACCTCTCACTTTTCGATGTGAATTCACCTATACCTAGGAATATTATTATTCCCTGCAAAATTTTCCATTGCAATAATTCATGTATAGACTCAGGTAGAGTTGATAAAACGTTAATTTACCTATGTCTAACAACTAATCATATTGATAGATTACCAACTTACGACAGCAAATTGTTCGTTTACTAAGAATCTTTCTGCAGTCCGGACGATATGGCTTTGCTACCGTATTCAAGTGGTACTACAGGCTCCCCCAAAGGTGTCATCCTCACACATAGAAATTTTGCAACTATGCTCGATATCATAAATCGGTCAGTAACTTTAAAGAAACTCTGCTATTGTAGTCCAAATAGCAATGTTTTAGACATTTTGATGACAACGTCGTCTCGAAGCTTGGTGACTCCTCTTGGGACTATCACGATGAAAACATGTTGTTGATGTTGCCGTTTTACCATATCTACGGTTTCGGTCTTATGAACCAAACACTTATCAAAGGAACCACTGGAATAATTTTCTCCAAGTTTGAACCTACGTTATTTCTAAGAGCGATTCAAACATATCGGGTGAGGATCCAAATATTATCTAGTAAAACGCCAAGAGATCCTTTGTTTTTTAGCCAAAGATGCTTATGCTTGTGCCACCAATTCTGTTGCTTTTGACGAAACATCCTTCCACACTAAACTATGACCTCTCCTCCATCCAAATGGTTCTTACCGGTGCTGCACCTGCTGGAAAGGATCTATGTGACGAGTTTCTCAATAAGTATAAGCAAGTACGATATTTAGCACAAGGTACATGATTCAGATCTTATATATGTCTAAAACCTTTTGAATTCCATATCCAATAGATTTAGAAAACTCACTCTCACCTGAGACATGAAGGGAAAAGCTGTATAACTGAACGTGAATAGTCAGAACGAGCTAATGCGCAGATAGCAAGTTATAAAATAATAGGAGCTCGCTCATATCTTTCTGCATCTAATCATAGTCCTTCGGCATTTTAGTAAAATGGCTATCTGACTACGCAAACCATTAGATGGTCCTTCATGATTCAAATATGTCTGCCAAAAATTCATCTGCCAAAAATACCTAGAAGAGCTACGTCAATTTTCCTTGAGAGCTTAGCTCGAACGGTTTGCTATATTCCCTTTTAGAGAGGGGCTCAGCAGCTTTGCAGTGTAGAAAAGAATCAACGTTTTGATACACGTTTGTTGGGAAACACTATTTACGAGCTGTTCTTTGAACAAGATATCTTGAGTAAATAGAAGCCGCTCGATTGTTGTTAATTTATTAGCAAGGCGAAATTTATATCCCTTGTCTGTAGAAGTTGCAGAGGAAGCCTTTTAGAAATGTTTTTAGCAGCAGCTCTCGTACTTTAGATAATAAAGTAATTTTGAAACAATCATTTTAAATTACGACAATTTCTGATGATGAAAATAACACTATATGCACCAAAATTCTTTAGCTTATGGGATGACAGAATGTGGCATGGCTTCGCACTTACCGCTTCTGGATTCCAGGACCA